TCACAATGCAATTCACGGGCGCAGTTGTTGTCGCTAGGCGCCGTGCCGTTCAGGTGCTCGGCTCCCTTCGTCTACCTGGCAAGAGGCAGCGGATTCGCTTCCCAGTTCCTGCGACGTCTGGCGACCCTAAGTACGCAGTTGCATGTGCATTCACACAAGAGCCCGTATCATATCAAACTCGAAGTCGCGGGGAACAGCGTTGTTGCTGGCCTCCGCAACCGACTCCCCGAGTCCACATTTTCATCGACAGGCAGAATGGCTGGGTTATCGAGTACTGGAACCCGTTCCTGAGGTTGGAGCCCCCAGCCGGTCGCAACCTTATTGCGCTTCTGGCACGACGCAGCGCGCACCAATCGCGGTTGGGCCCGTGCCGAGGTGCGAAAGCGCATCGAACACACTCTTGAACCCAATGCACCACCAGAGTGGTCTCTATAGCGTCTACGGTGACATCTTCACGCACGCGGTGCAAGGCGGTCGTGCACCATGGGCGGTGGAGCTGACTTCCACACCGCGAGGGCATTATTACGTTGGCGCGGTTCTCCTGCCACGGTTAAGGATATTTACACGCATACAGCGGGCATGTCGCACCCGGTTTTTGCGATCCAGGAGGTCCGCCAGTAGCTGAAATTCTTCTTGGGCAGAGTGGCGCCGTCGTCAGTGGTCTCTGGAGCGTTTGTGATTGACCGCGAAAGACATACACGCCGGCGCGTTGTTGCTGTCTCGCCGATATCGCCGTCAAACTCTGGACCTGCCACGTCGCCCACTCTGGTTATGGGGAGAGCGCTCAAGACAGCTTCGCGCGAACTACGAGCAGAGATTCGGCACTGCAACGTTCGCAACCATGGGTTAACGACTGTGGATGTTCGGGAAGCGGCCTCAGAGTTGGAAGACTGTATGTATTGGGCCCATGCGGACGTTAGCTCGCGGCTGGCGGCGGTCTGCGGCGACTTCAGTTTTGCTTCGCACGACCCTCTCCAACTCGCTCGCCCGAAGCCGCCAGGGACGCCCAAGCAACCAACAGTGCGCGCACGCACACGAAGACCTGGATGGCAACTCTGTGCGAAATGCTGGAGGCGGCCTCCGAAGACCCCGTGCACTTCTGCAAGGGCCCCAATCCGTTGGCGCAGATGGATCACATCGGGGTGTCTGAGCCGAACTGGCCCCTCCGTCAACACGCGGGCGCGGGCGCGCGTTGCCGCGGCGCTTGAAGAGCTGCCCGCCAATGGCATTTCCGATCACGCCGCCGTTGGCGCCCGCGCTCAATTGCCCTGCAGGGCGCAGCACTTTGGATGGCGGCGCCAGCTGCCATCTACAAGCGCCCCGAATCTCGCCCGCGACTAGATGTTTCACTTTCGCAAGGCGGCTGCTCGTTCTCCCCCGCGTCGCCCCCGCGGCAGCCGGAGCGGCGCAAGGGCTCGATGGGCGCGGCCGCCTACGGCGCGCCTCACCAGCTGCTAGTCAATGACACGCTCAGCATTGAGGCCTGGCGCGTTTTCGCTCGGTAGATGGCGCGAACGATCTGGCGGCGAGATGCGGCGTTGGCGCGGAAAGTCTGCAACACATCAGAGGTGTTTCGCAGCTGCGTCGACACACCTGATACAGGCACGCGGTCGATTGAGCCAGCGGCGTTCCAGGCGCGAGCGGGCGCGATCCAGAGTGCTGCCGTTGAACAGGAACTGGCCGAACTGCAACGCGACGCCCTGCATGCTCGTTGTCGCACACAGCCCGTTGCGGAACCATCGCGGCGAAGCAGAGGAAGGCTCGCTCGCGGGCGCCCTTCGCGAAGCGGCTCACGTTGTGCGCGGTCGAGGTCGACGACGCATGATGCGCTGACCCTGCGGCTACGCCGGATGCGCCGGCGAACAAGCGCCCCCCCCCCCCAATCTCTGCGAAGCCCCCGACTTTCTTGAAGCGCGCGAAGGCGCGCACTCAGATGTTCACGGCACGCGCGACTTCTCCATGTTGCAACCGCCCTCGCGCGAGCTTCCCGCTCGCGCTTTTTCCAGATTAGCGCCGTCGGGATCTGCGCCCAGCGTTGCTGGGCTCCCCTAGTCGGCGCAGGCTGCCCACCCCGCGGGCGCGCATGTCCTTTGGAGCGCCTGAGTTTGGATGGCGGATGGCCAGCAGCTCTTCGCCCCTCCGGGCGCGACCCCGCAGGCGTTCCCGCCGGAGGGGCGCCCAGGCGACGAGGGAGTCGCGCGCGCGCCTGACACCGTCAGAACCCTGGGGCCGCGCAATACGGGTACGAAGGTCACCCCGGCAACCTTCGACATCGCCTTCGCCCCGATCGCTCCGCAAACTACATTGGCGGCCAAAATGGGCTCTATCGCGGGCGCGCAGCTCACTTCCAACATCCTCGAGTTGCACGCCACGGCGCGCATCGCATCGCTGCCCCCCGCTGCGGGGCGGAAGTAGCCGCTTCTGATCGCGCTCGACTTCGGACAGGCGTTCTTCAGCCTCAGCCAGGAATGCCTCTCCGCGGTCTTGGGGCAGCCCCAGCTTCCGTCGGCCCCGCGGGCGGCTTTGCGACCCCTTCTTGGCCGCGGGACGGGCAGCGGGCATGACCAGGGACCTCTCCCACATCTGCTGCGGGGTCATTCAAGGGCGCGCGCTCCCCGGCAGTCTCGTCGCAGCGGCGGCGCCGCCATTTTCAGAGGGCCTCAGACTGGGCCTCGAAGCGGTTGAGCATGGGATTTTCAGAGCCTGCGCCGACGACATCGGCGAGGTGCTGTTCGACGAGACCGACCTTCGCTTCTGAGCCAGATTTATGGCCGTCGCGGGGAAGCTGGCGAATTTGAAGTTCGAGCCCCGGGCTTGCGTCCTCGCGCCGTTGGCTGTCGCCGTCACGACCCTGATTCAGTCCGACGCCCAGCAGTTCCTGAGGTGGCACCTCGACGCGTGGGAGCCGTTCAAAGTAGAACCAGCATTGCTGCATCTCGGCACGCGGTGGGGGCCGGCGGCCACTGCGATTCAACCCTGGGCTGCGCTGTGGCCCAGATACAAGTCCAGGGCTGCTGCGCGAGCTGCCTCGCCCGCCCCCGCGTCGCTCAACGCCTTCGGCGTCGTCGCGAGGGCGCCCCCACCACGAGCTACATGGCGCTTATCTTGCCGTTGCCAGATCAGACCCTGGAGTCGGGCATTCACGCGCCGGTTCGCCCGCTTCGTCTTCCTGCGGGAGCTCTCCGTTACATCGACTTTTTCAGTCTTGGGCAGTAGGAGGGGGCCCAAGTTGAGGTCGCTCGCTGCCTCGCCTTCTGCTGCGCCAGTGCGGTTTGGAATTGTCGCGCATCGCGAACATCGTCGCAACCATTATCGTTTTCGCGTTTTCTCCGAACGGCGGATACGGCATCGGCGACTCGCGGGCCTCAACGGACGATTATCCCCATCTTTCAGGAGGTTGCCCTCGCTGGTGGGATTTCTGGAAGACGCTCGCACCGAGGCATCGTCGCCTGAGGCTGCGGCGGCTCGGCGACATCTGCGCCCGAAGCCTGAAACGAGACACTTAGTTCAGAAGACGGCGCGCGCGGACTTCTTCGCGGACATGCTCAAGCCTCTCTGCACACATCATGATGGATCAGCGCCATGATTAACCGACGCGATCATCAAGCGCCGGACGAAAATGCCCCCCGGTCTAACAGGACGAGCTACTCAAGCTCCATTGGGGGAAGTTGCTGAAAAAGCTCATGATTTAAAACCAGTGGCATGGGCT